GCCGTCTCCAGCCATTATTAACTAAGATTTGTTTTGGTATTCGGCCCGCCGACAAGGGGGGGGGGGGAAATCCCCCGGGCCCCGGGCGAATGAAACCTGGTTATGCCGTAAAGCCTGCAAAGCATCTTTAGGCTATAGCTTCATTTAATGATAAAAACCATAGTTTTTGGCTTTCTTTGCATATAGACGCTTGATACATTAAGAACGACTGAAATAATAATTTGAGTAATAATTAATATGATTTAATTTAATTTAGATTTAATAGATATTTGTTGTTACTTTATTAACGTTTTTACGCTTATACTGGGAGGTAAGAACGGCTGCTGCTAATGATTTTGTCTGCTTTATGAGCTCGTTGCTGTCCTAATTTAGGATCTTCTTTTTAATAAATTCTTGAAAATGTAGTTACGTTAAAATCATAAATAATATTCAACGTTAAACTGGTACACAATTTTATTTAGGCCTATCTATGGCCTTCAAAAAGTTGACGACTCTACATGTTTCGACGTTACAACGTCATCCTTCGAAACAATAACTAAATTAATAGCTTCTGCTTGTTGATCATTGATTCGACAATCAGCAGTTATTTTGGCCTTACGAAATCCAACCAAAAAATTTCAAAGAACAAAAATAAATGAGAGTTATTCATACTCTTCATAATATTAACAACACAAGAGAGGAGTAACACTGGATACCATGGCGAAAAATTAAAAACTGATTTTTGATAATGCTTACGAACAGGAATCTCGCCAACATATTTTCGAACATGATAGCTGTTGCCTATTATCCAATTGTAATTTTATAAACCAAAAAAAAAACTTCTGGTAAAAGCATCAAGGTTAGCTATAATTCCATTGGTTCAGTAAATACATTTCGTTAGCAAAGAACAGCTTGATTTTAAATTCTGAAAACTCAATAATGTTCTCAGGTAGTCTTCTGAAAGCTCAGTCATAGTAGAAGAAGTCGACTGAGAAGCAGGAGGGTCAAACAAAAATACTATTATGTTTACAAAGCGTTAAAAGCCCTATATTCATCAGCCACAGTGCTAAAGCACCTAAAGCACAATATCAATATTTCAATATTAAGCCTGAATCTAAACCCTAATCGATTAATAGAACTCGAAGCAGCCTAACATCACTACAATATAAGTTCTCATGACAATTCACAAACTTGCCAAGGAACACACCAACAGTAATCCTATATTATTATTATACATAACTATCGATAAGCATATATATAATATTACACGAAAAAATCGTTGTAATTTCTAGTTAGCTTTCACTTTCCAGGCCTATCTGTATTTTTACTTCAAACTGTTCAAATTTAGAAGAGGTTGATTATATTGTCTCTTATCTTATTTTTAGTTACTGGAACTATATGGTGTGTCTAAACCTGCATAGTATTTTATGTTGTGTATTTAAACCTATATAGTATATTACTGGAACTATGTAGTGGGTGTCTAAACCTATAAAATACGTTACTGGAACTATATAGTATGTGTCTAAAGTCACTCTAAGCCTATACAGTATATTACTGGAACTATATAGTGTGTGTGTAAACCTATATAGTACGTTACTGAAACTATATGGTGTGTATCTAAACTTATATAGTACGTTACTGAAACTGTATGGTGTGTATCTAAACCTATATAGTACGTTACTGAAACTATATGGTGTGTATCTAAACCTATATAATGTGTTATTAGAACTATGTAGTGCGTGTCTAAACCTATATGGTATGTTATTGAATTTATATAGTGTGTGTGTAAACCTATATAGTACGTTACTGAAACTATATGGTGTGTGTCTAAACCTATATAGTATATTATTGGAGCGATATGGGGTGTATCTAAACCTATACAGAAATTTACTGGAACTATATAGTGTATGTCTAAACCTTTATGTTATGTTACTGGAACTATATAATATGTATCTAAACCTATACACTATATTACTGGAACTATTCGGTGTGTATCTAAACCTAGATAGTACGTTACTGGAACTATATAATGTGTGTCTTGCCTAAATCTGTATATCATGTTACTGAATCTATATACAGTGTGAATCCTGACTGTATATCATACAGTATATAGGTATAAATATGTATACCTACACAAAATATAGCTGAACTAGTGTTGTGCACGAAAACGAAGTTAGTTTTTATCTGAAGTGATATAATGTTTACCCGTGAGTTTAAACCAATATCATGTTTATCTAAGCTGTACGTCAGTAGACATTTAACATGAAACAATAATCCTCCACAGCCTGGAGTACCGAAAATAGTTTGTTCTGTTTAGTTTATAAACATATCATATCAGCATTTGTAGAGTTTAATCTGCATTCAGTTATTCGTGGAACTGTCTAATGAACAAGGTAGATTGTAAGTTCTCCCTGGTGTAAAATAAATTATCACGTTTTAATGATGTGGTTATTGTTTATAAATACCTCACTGAGCTCTTGTTACAAATTAGTGACGAACACATCTAAGTTTTAACTTAAATTGTTGTATCATAATACATGGGATCGTTGAGAGATTTGTATTTTTTTACCTAGACTGGTGAAACATGTACAGACGTTTAGCTTATTCCAATGACTTTTGTTTAGGACAATACTTTTATTACCAGCAGTAGCAGGTAATAAAATACCATTTAGAACTCACGTATTATAAATGCGAACGAAACAAGTTTGTGATTTTGGTTTAAAATAAATAGTTTATAGTGCAATGCAAAAATAAATGATAAAGAATGTAAATGGTGAGAACTACTTCTTAACATTTGAATATAAAAAAAATACTGATAATATCTGTGGGATATCAATTCTTTATAAGTGAAACAGTATATTCCGCTCTCTAGCGATGAATATAACATCTGTAATTTCAATAATTTTTCAAAACTTTGAACAGGTTGAACTCGCTCTTCAGGTGTTGTTCAATCAATATGGAACGTGAAACACCTCTACATGTCGACTATCAAGACAACCGGGATTCATTGTTTTTTTACGTCTAATGAGTCAACGAGGATCGTCTAGCAATATCGTGTGGTCAACATATTACTTTGAACTTGTACAGGTAAGATATTTTAACACAGCCTAAAAAGTAGTTTGGTCGAAACGTTTGGTAACTGGTTTGATCGGACTTTTTTCTTTTGTCTTAGAAACTTCCGTTAGGACGTGTCTGAATTAGTTAGATGAGATAATCTAAGAAAAATAAGTTTTTGAAATACTAATTAAATAATTCAAATATACAGGTTGATAGAAATTGTGTATATATATTAACAATCTTAAGAATAAAAGTATAATATTAATAATATTATCGATTGAGACTTCCACATCAATGTTTCAAATGACCTTACACAAAGAGATTCAATATAGTTGGTGCCTACCAATGCAATCTGAAATCAACCATAATTTACTTTTGGTGTCTTGACCTGACAATGTGGCTTAAAGAAAAGACTAAAAGTTTAAATGTTTATAGACAAGTTTATAGAGAATCATGTAGGATCATTCAATGAAAAAATAACTTAATATAGAATCTGAACAAAAGAGAACAACTATTGACTCAACAGTTGAAACTTGTTGGGGAAGATTTCGATCATATTTAAAGGCTAAGGTGATAAAGGTATTCAATAATATAGATATCATAAATACCACTTTCTAACTAATATCATCGCCTCAAGCACTTCAGAATAAAGTGTTCCATCTTACCTAGAAGTTTTTCTCCTGATTACGTCTGCCTCTAACTCAAAACTACTATCTCTGTTGCTATTAGAGATTTTTACTGTCATAAGTAGTCTCGTATTCTACTATTGATGTATAGTCTCTGTCTGAACCAATGTATTGTACATCTGAGCCTATATTATCGATCTTAATAGACAAATGGCATGTTTGTCCTAATATACCAAAGTAACTTATGTCTGAAACGAGGCGTTTCAACACTTGTAGTTAAGATTACAATATAAATATAACAAAAAATATGTGTACTAAAAAATTGATTTCTTAAAAAATATAAGTTATAGATTTAGAAATTTATAAAATACCCTTTATGAGAATAAATATATTTTTAACTATTTTTCTTACTCAGTGTTTACTTTTCACATAAATATATATATTAAACATACATATATATGTTTAAACATTTTCTGGATAAAATTAATTATTGCCATATCTGACAAGAAACTATCTCTTTATTCTCAAACTATTATTGAAGCTATTCTCTTTCTCCGTGTAAATCATAACACACCAAGAAACTAAAAATAATTAAAGTTAGTAACATTAACAAAGGCCATTTTTTCTATAAAATTTTACACTTACCAACAGTGGGGCAGGAATGTCATCTTTGCAAACTTGTTCTAATGGCACTCCAAAGTGAATTCTGAAAAGAATTAAGCATGTATGTTATTGTCACGAAGAAGACAACAAAAAAGTTCCGAATTTACACTGTGTCACAAAATTTACTAATGCAAATCTAATCAGTCAGCTAGTCCTGAAACTTTTCGAGGTGATGTAACACACTCTGGTGATAGTTTTATTAACAAACAACGTTCAATATACTACTTTAATCTCTACGTGTTCTAAACAAAGAGATAATAAGTTTTGTGCTAATTCAGCGCATATTATTACTTATTCAAATTAATTATATATAATAATAATAATAATAGTTTTATTAACAAACAACGTTCAATATACTCCTTTAATCTCTACGTGTTCTAAACAAAGAGATAATAAGTTTGGTGCTAATTCAGCGCATATTATTACTTATTCAAAATAATTATATTGATTTACAGAAGTTTAACCACAAAAGTTAATGAAATGGTATGTTGCTGAAGATTTCGTAGCCCGTTTCGAGGAAATATATAGGTATATCTTAAAGGATATAAAACCAAAGAACGGAACATTTTGAAGAAGCGTGCCTTCAATGTTTTCAGTGATGAAAACAGACAAGTTCGCACAGCAGAGCGGTCAGGAGAAGAACAAGCTCAGAAATCACAGCTAAAGATAATCGGCTGCTGGAAATATTTTCATTTTCGTCAATAAGCAACAAACTGCTATTTTAACAGTGCTGTGAAATAAAAAAGACGATACTAGATTAGTTTTATCCCAAAATTTTATTGATGTTAAATTAAAATTAGAAAGTATTTGTTTCAAAAATGATTTGTTGTTAAATACTTAACAATAAATGATTAAGTATAAAGTACAATAACGTACTTATATAAGGCAAATATGAGTCATTTAAAACTTTCTGAAATTTTTAGTAGCAAAAGAAATATATATTGACACTGGACACTGGGATACTGGAGCTTTATGTTGATTACAACTCGTGGTTGGAATATGTCTGAAACTGGCTGAAGTAATTATAGTTTAAAGTTCTTGAGCAAAACAGTTAATAAGTTCATAAAATCTATAGCTGCATCATGCATGGCATTCTTGAAGTATTTTGATTCACTAGTCTTCCTCAACCAGAATTTCAAGATGGTCTCTACCAACTGGAGAACGAATGTGGAATATTAGTAGTGAAACCAAATTTGCCAAGACCACAACAACATAAGGAGTTGTACTGCATTCAGGACGAGTATGGGATGGAAGCGACAAAATATATTAAATAATATTGTCCAGTGTGGCATGAAATCAGCATAATAAAGGAGTAGTTCTATTATGTATGATAATGAATATCATCCTTAACAATATCTCTGTGGACGAAGGTGAAGAAGTCATGAAGCAATGGACCCCAGTTCGAACATAGATAGTAGTGAATATAATGACACGAGATGCAAAGTACACGTAAGTATGAGATGTTCATTCTTTGCATTGAAACTTGAAAAGTAGTCCTATTTTCTACTGCAACTCCACCCTTTCCAGTGCAATTTACGATGTAACGAGATAATCTTGGAGATGATTTAAGAAATGTCTCATTGTGAAGAAAGCAATGGAGTTGGTAGACAGAAGTGGTTGATTAGTGTGTAGTGAACAAAGGTTGATTAAAATAAACTTTAACAATCAATCTCCAATCGATTTGGCAATCATGATCCCTATAAAGGTTTGAAATGAAAATGCAAATTCAGTTCAGAATAGGTAGCCTGCATATTAATTTTTAAAACTAACTCAGCTGCATGGTTAATGCTATCCAGGACAAATGCACGTTGATATGGATGTACATTTTGTATGACAGTAGTTATGAAATGCAGAATGTCTTCAATGGGGGAAGGATGAGTAAGAGCATTATTAGATGATGTCACCAGGTCTATGGTGGAGGAGTAACTGTAGTAGGATCATCAGATTTAGACAATGAGGGACTTCGTTTAGGCGTCTGGAAAATGAAACACTTATGAGGTCGAACGTAAAGCTAATAGTAATTATATGTGTTGTGCATACTTAACCACAGAATGACTAGTATTACAATTTTTTTCAAAGGTGAACATGTTCTTGAAGTATTATAACTTTAGGATTGAATAAGTTAAAAGTATAATTTTAATTGGCAACTGTTTGTACTTATTTTACTTCACAGTACAAGGAAGGTCAGTTAATAAGCAAACTGCATTTCAGTTGTATTTCTAACTACAGAAGCTGAAAGCTAATTAATAAACTCTATATATTTTAACAGCGCCAATCGGCACTTACTAAATCTTTCTTTGCTTCGAACATTGTATTAGTTTAGCCAATAAATAATGCCATGTTGAAGTATTTATAAAATTCAAATACGACGTATATCAAATATGTGAAGGTTTTTCAAGAAGTACATTTTTATTTTATATCATATATAACGTAAAGTATGGAGAAATCAGAGGATTGAAAAAAAAAGTACAGTCAGTAACTAGCGAACTGCAATACCAAACAGGGAAGATGCAGGATTGAGGCTCAAAGCATTCCAGTTGTAACTTCAGGGAAAGAATTCATAGCTCGCAGACGTGGTATGTTGAGAAAACTCCACTAGTTAGATAAAACACACGACGAAATGAACCAATGTACAAAAACAGCAGTTAATGAATGGTGATGAAAGACAAGGGTGAGATACCACTAGTGAAGAGTCCGAGTTGTAGGGTTTTTCTCTATACACTTTAAGTTAATTGTATTGAATGATTTTGCCAAAGATATTAGATAAGGGACAGAAATAAGTTGTGTGAGGACTAATAACAAAGTGCTGGAAGATCCCACTTGTACCAATCAAGTTAAAAGAACTACTTTTGAAAGTATATCTGCTAAACTTCTTGAACAATTGGAAAAACACTAAAAATTGTGTATATAATTCCGTGTTTCTGACTCTAAACGGCACTTGTCTGACTTTCCTGACTTGATCGACTTTTCCACACTTATTAAGTTATTCTGAGGAACTGATCTAACTGATCTAATGCAGAATCTACAAGAAGTTTTCTGAATAAACTCCTTATAAGTATGCTATTTCTGAACTGGTCTAACAGTGTTTCACTTAAGGTTCAGTAATGTATAATATATATAAAAAGAGGAAAGTGAAAAACACTAACTGTACTAAGAAAATGATATATTTGATAATGCTTAAAATGGAATTACTTAAAGATATCTTCGAAGCATTGTTAATACAGTTATACAGAATTTCTCGTGTTAAGTTAATTGGTAACTTAACTAATGTTGTATCTATGTTACTGAATGTAATAGAAGGCCTTATTAATGAACATCTAGACTTTCAAAACGAATAAGTCGGTGATTTAGAAGTAGCTTTATCACAAAACAACTTTAAGAGTTTCAATATAAATAAACTGCTCAATAGTGTATAAATAAGAAGCTAGTTGATTTGTAATGAGTTGTCTCTGTGTGAGTTCTTTATTCCACATGTAAAAGTCCTCGAGTTGGTGGCTTGTGTGCTCCACTCGCGACAGCATGACCCAAAATCCAAATAAATTACTTTATAATGACGGTATAGTCGACTAAGTCCACGGACTGCCCACACGCTCGTTATAGTATTATTCTGTTAAAGATTTATTTCATGCTTCAATTTAACTCTATAACTACCAAGAAAAAATTACATAAGATACTAACATGGTCCAATAGACTCACTTTAAAAAAGTCTAAAAGTTATAAACCTTGTTATTATTATGGGACAATGCTGCTTTATATATTTGAATTAAGATAGAATTAAGGTGAATACATAATACATAGAAACAAATTACAGTAGTTTTTTTAGCTTCATTTTCATCGTCTACATTGTACTTGTAAATGTTCATTTCCAACATTAATTCCATAACTAGTGCACACTGTGCATGTTTTGTGGCCTTTTTTTGCATCCACAAATTGAGCATTGTCCTTTTTTCTGGCTGTTTCATCTAGAACTTCTGCAAGTTGGATGGAATTTTCTGGATTGTCTTGTTGAAATTCTAATCCAGCAAGCTCTTTCCAAAGTTCAATGAAAAAATGTCAGTGCTTGTGCACTTTTCCTTGAATATATTGAGAGTTCAACTTCTGCTATGTTAGAAAAGCATTTACTGCACTAAAATCAATAACATTGTAGAAGATAACCATAGGTCATCTTCGGGCCATGTCATCTTTGGTATGGTTGTAAACCAAAATGGCCTCTGTTGTTTTTTTGTTGTTGTTGTTGAGAGTGCATTATACTTAAGAGAGTTACAATGCTACCTTCTTTGTTATAATATGATGCAATCATTGAGTCAGCTTGGCATCCAAAAATAGCAGTTGTGGGCATTCTTCTTTTTGGGTTTGTAAACTCATGTGGAAGCTAGCATTTGTTCTTTTTAATTGTTCCCACAACTTGTCAACAACTTGCCAAGTAAACGCCACGCCAGTAATAATCTCGCAAACGATTGTTACAAATTGTTTTTCTGCCCGTATTTTCGATTTTTTTTACTATGTTCATAACAACTCTCTCTCCTTCGTTGAATTCTGTTCTTTACTCAAGATCTTTTCCTTTATACACCTGTATTTTCACACTATTTCACTAGAGTCACACTATTTCTGTTAGTGTAGCGAGATGGACCAAGAACAAAACGTTACAGTATGGTGTCCTTCCTTCTGCTTGGTTTGGAGGCTCAGATTGCCATACCTCATATTTGTTTTTACAGACAAATTCTTAACTTCTGTCTGACCACTGTTGTCCATTTCAATATCTGACGTGTTAGATTGAGAAATATAACTTACATTGTCCAGTTCACCATCGTCATTAGACATACTGTCATCATTTTCTTGTTCTTAATCTCTTTCATTATTCTTCTGCTCTAAAAATAGCTGTATATTCTCATTTGCAATACGCCTTCCTCACATTTTAGGGCAATTCCTCTTTATTTCTAAAAAAAAAGATACTTTTTAAAAACTGTTCAGAGATAACAAGGTACAGTGTAGCAACAGTGCTTGTGATTAGAATGCTCGAGAAGGAGACTGGTCCAACTTTTC